GAAGAAATATCTAAGTGCTGAGGATGTACAGGGCCATGAGAGGCCCCAAAACCAAAAACCAAACTCAATGCTGTGGAGTTGAATCCGACTCCCAGCAACCCCTCCTCGGGTTTCTGAGGTGGTATCACTACAGAAGTAGATTGCCCAACCTTCCTTCTGACGAGTGGCCAGGCAGGTGCATTTGCCGAGAGTGGGTGGGGACTTGTCTGGATTTTCCAGCAAGCTCCCCAGCTCCATGCTAAGCCAAGATAACACTGATTTCTTCCCTGACACACCCACAAATGAATAGAGGTTTACGAAGCACATTTCACTAACAAGGGAAACACAGCAAAGCTATAGAACAGGTTTTCCTTGGTAAGAGACATACAACACAAACAAGGATGTTCACTGTTGAGTACCAGCCTCTGAAGCAAGGTGGGTGCTTGAGAGCTTTGTAAAACTGAAGCAATTTCAACATCAACAGAACACAAGGCCCAGTTCCTGGGACGCCATGAGACAGGCAGGGTTAAATGTCAAGAGAAAACAAGGCCCAGGACCTGGCATGCCATAAGACATGGTTCAACTTCAAGACAACAAGAGGCCCAGGTCCTGGGATGGCAACAGACAGACAGTGGGTTCGGCGACAGGGCCTGCACCACACGTCTGACCTAAGGTGCTGTGTCTATCCAGGGATGGACAGTGATGTTCCTCCCTAAAAGGTGGGCAAAGCCATCAAGAGAGATCACCTTCTGTTCACTGTGTAAATGCTGAGGCCTGTCTTGTCACAGACAGACCACTGTGACTACTGTTAGAACATTTGTCATCTAGTAACATGAAAATGGAGGTGTTCTGCAATTAAAAAGAAAACTTTACTACAAATGGTAGGTCAGTTTTCTGGTTAGACATGGTTGTTGGATAGATTGCAGACCGATTCATAGAAACACTCTTTCTGCTTCCAAGGGAACATCAGAACATTGTTTCTAGAAAATACCATTGGTTTCCAATCCCGTTGGTTTAAATACCTCCATGCAGTGAAAGCTTTTCCAAACCAGTTCTCCAGGAGAGCAGAGCAATCTGTGTATTGGTGTTCTCCCAGCCGTGGGTCACAATTATTGTTCTGTCAGGAAATGCTTTCAGTGGGTCACAAAAATTATTTCTTAACAGAAAAGAAAATATCAACATTATCAGAGTGTCCATCAAGTTGGAAGATGAATTTTATTTCAAGAGCCTTTGCGCAGTGGAGAGCGAGTGTGATGGAAAATTCTTTCTCACTGTGCTTGGTCCCTCGTCCGCAGAGTTCCAAAGTCACAGATTAGACTTCCCACCCCGACAGGCAACTGGTGGTTTCCACTCAACTCTTCTTCACATCTGTTTATTTCCTTTTACCACTTGTCCCCAGGCAGAGGTAATGTATAAATACGCACTCATAAGCCAGGGATGATGCTTTCTAAAGACTGAGATTCGACGGGATGCTTTATGGAAGCTGCTGCTGCAACCCAGGATCTATGTTGGCAGAAAGTTAACCCACAGCGTAAAGTCCAGTTTGCTCAGGGCTAGGGAGGCACAGTGTGCAGACTCCCTCAGTGACTGATGGGAAAGTCCAAAGCCAGAGTGAACATCACACCAAGCATTCTCTAGCTTACAGGAGTTGTTTTAAATTCATCTCCAGAGAACAATGCTGCCCAATGTGGAGCAAAAAGTCCTTTGAACCAATTTAGCTACTTTCAACCCGGACCACAAAACTCATTAACTAAAACCAAACCAAATCACAAGTACACACTGACAGCTAGGACTTGACAGTCACAGCCCTCCCAAAGCACAACACGAAGAGTATTCCAGGCGTGCATGTATGTGTGTGCACGCACATGCCTGAGTGCATGTTTGTACGCACATGTACATGTGTGTCTCGTGTGTGCATGTATCTATGCACATGTGTGGATTTGTGTCCACATGTGTGTAGTGTGTGTCATGTGCATGCATATGTGCACGTGTGCACGTCTATACAGGTGTGTAGGTGTGTGCTGTGTGTGTGTGCATGTGCATGTGTGTGTGTCAATGTGTATGTGCACATGCACCCAAATGTGACTAGCTGCTATTTTCCTCTTCGTGATTTTCCACCTTTCCTTAATTTGGTAACATGGTGTTTTAAAAAAGCAGCAAATGTGGATTTGCATCCGAGGCTCCTCTGACAACAAGAGCCAGGTGGGCTCCACACAGACATGTCTCCCTTGTTAAAGCAGACACTCATATACCTACATTCTCTCTTCAGTGTGATTATTTACACTGAATTGTTCACTCATTTAATTCTACTTGTAAAACACATTCAGATATGGGTTAGGTTCTCTCTGGGGACCCCACATGCATGTGTGAGATAGATAAATGGGTGGAAGACAGGATTTCTTAGTTGATGTTTACCCAAGGACTAAGCTGGAGCCAGAGCAACTGTAACCATGGATGTCTTACTTTCTGCTAAGATCTCAGTTGGGATGTTTTTTCTGTGTAGAGGAAGAAGAGAAATTTTTGAACCCCAAAGGTATTTTCATTAAATATACACAATACGTGATAGATACACTTAGATTTCATGCCCCTCCCCACTGCCGTCAAGTCGGACCCAACTCATAGTGACCCCTTTTCCTTGGATTTCCGAGGCAGTATCACTATAGAAGTAGATTGCCCAACCTTCCTTCTGAGGAGTGGCTGGTGGATTTGAACTGCCCGTCTTCTGGTTAGCAGTCAAATGCCTTAGGCACTACGCCACCAGAGCTCCCAGATTTCATGCCAGTTTCCCTTAATCTGCAGATTCTTGGCTGACCTGACAGAATGCAGAGAGTCAACTTTCACCTGTTTAACCCCATACATTAAGGACAGTCCATAGCCTCATTTTAGAATCTTTCACTCTTTCCTTCTTTCTTCCATTTTTCAGTAAAAGTTTTCAGATGATGCTTTCTAAAGACTGAGATTCAACAGGATGCTTTATGGAAGTTGTTGCTGCAACCTAGGAAATATGTTTGCAGAAAGATAACCCACAGTGTAAACTCCAGGTTGCTCAGGGCTGGGGTGGCATGGGTTTGCACACTCCCTCAGGGACTGATGGGAGAGTCCAAAGCCAGAATGAACATCACACCATGCATTCT